GTTTACACGGTACTAAGGATTTTGACACTTTTTTTGATTTAACATTTGTTGTCATTTAAATTCTGTGTTTGATATACAGGGTGTTTCTTTTAACTTGAGACAGCTCAATATCTCGAGAAATACGCATTTCACGGAAAAATGTCTTAAATAAAAGGTTAATGTGACTAAAGGGGACATTATTTGGTGTTACCGCTAGCCACCCCCTACCCCTCCTTAAGGGTGAAACGGGGGGTAACTTTGGAAAGTCAAATGGAATGACCCGATTTTTTTCACAGAGTTTGGTAGTACATAAAAAAATAAATAACTTTTATTTAAAACTTTTTTCAATTTATCAACAGATGGCGCTGTAATTCAAAATTTAAGAAAAATGAGTTTCCTTGTAAAATGTATTATTTGAAACGTTTGAAAAACAAAAATTAACATTAACAACAATAGTCGGCTATGAAAACAATTTATAACAAATGTTCGAAATGTCCTCATTCCATTTCAACACATTTTTGAATGCGGGTAATGAATTCTGGCACACAACGCGCCAACATATCGGGCGGTATCGCCGCACAGGCGTTCCTGATCCGCTCCACCATGTCCTCCCAAGTTGTAGGAATTGCAGTGTAAACTTTTTCTTTCAAGTAACCCCACTGGAAGAAGTCTGGTGGCGTAAGATCAGGTGATCGAGCAGGCCAAATTACTGGACCACGTCTACCGATCCACCGCGGTGCACCGGCCATTGAACTCCCGATCCAACACCTCTCGAGCAATTGTCGAATAATGTGCAGGACGACCATCTTGCCAAGATGATCTTGGTGGTACCACATGTTTTTGGAGCCGTGCTAGTGGTACATCCTCCAAAAGGTCCGTCAGATCGTTTTCTAGAAAATTCCGGTACTTTTCGCCATTTAATGCACCGTCAATAAAAAAGTGTCCGATTAATCGTTCGCTTAAGGTACCGCACCAAACGTTTACCGACCAGGGACGCTGGTGCTCCACTTGGTGTCGAAATGGAAGGACGACATTTCGAACATTTGTTATAAATTGTTTTCAGAACCGACTATTGTTGATTTAATGTTAATTTTTGTTTTTCAAACGTTTCAAATAATACATTTTACAAGGAAACCCCTTTTTCTTAAATTTTGAATTACAGCGCCATCTGTTGATAAATTGAAAAAAACTTTTAAATAAAAGTTATTCATTTTTTTATGTACTACCAAACTTTGTGAAAAAAATCGGGTCATTCCATTTGACTTTCCAAAGTTACCCCCCGTTTCACCCTTAAGGAGGGGTAGGGGGGTGGCTAGTGGTAGCACCAAATAATGTCCCCTTTGGTCACATTAACCTTTTATTTAAGACATTTTTCCGTGAAATGCGTATTTCTCGAGATATTTAGCTGTCTCAAGTTAAAAGAAACACCCTGTATATCAATAAAATAATGAATAATTATAATAATAATAATATATAATAATTATAATTATTATAAACTCTAAAAGATCGATGGATTGGTGTAAACGATAATGAAATTGAGGTAACTTTGAATAAATAAGGTTTATTAAAGTATTTTTATATTTTAAAGCACATTTTAATTTTAAATGTCAATCTGACAAATTTTTTAATTCCTAAAATTCATTGTATTTTATCACTAAATATAACTCGTGGTATGATTAATAATCGAAGATTGAAACCAATTCGAAAATATCATCGATGATAATCATACCACTTGTTATATTATGGGTGAAAATATTACTAATATAACCTAAAAACACAATCATTAATAGACCAGTAAAAGTGTTAGATTTTATTAGGAGACCCAACACTTTTATACCGGTTTTAATTTTCCAAGTATTGGGTCAACATACGCGCGCTTTTACTGGCCTATTAAAAATAATTATAAAATTTAATTGTGGTGGTAGAATCTTAAAATTCTACTATCATCAATTTTTATGAAAAATACATCTATACATCTATAATACAGAAGTAACTAAGAACACCAATTTTCACAAAAAAGATAAAATTAAAAATAAAATGTTCGCGAAAAAAGAAATGGCATATAAATGGTAAATTTCAACACCATAATTTTTATAGTTTTATTTTTTTTTCAGTGTACAATAATTTTTATATTACATATAAGACTATATAGAAAGACTTTATATTAATTATTATTAAACTCCGTACAGAAATAAATCTAAAAAGTCATCATGTCTATGGTTAACCTAATAATGATTGATAGAATCTTAAGAAATTATTTAATTAAATGCTTAAAAAAATAGTGTATAAAACACGAAAGCTTATTTATTGCTTTCTCCGCCTGGTCTATATGATAATATTTTACAATCTAAGATAATATGATTCAGATTTTCACAAAAAGTGAATATCATAAACAAGTTCTATTTTAAATTTCAATTCAAAATATGCAGTTGCAGATGCATTTTGTGATCTTATGGATATTTCTATATATTTTAAGAAATCATTTTTTTTAATCTCAAGAATGGTTAGACATTTAAATAGCTTTTGTTGTTTTTAAAAGAGTATGATAATTCATTTGCTTAAAAATTTTAAAAAAAGTTTCATTATTCATATGAGTATATTTGTGGAACAATCAGACAAAAGCAGATAAATCCAGTTTTGTTGAAAATTAGTTAGGTATGAACTTACAGTAAATGAGGTGAGAATAATCCATTGGTGAACTCAGAATTGAGCCAAACCAAGTAATTGATATAGTGCTGGTCTCGAAACATCAATCAAGCAAGAACATATAAATCCATTAATACAATTTAAATTCTTGTTTCAATGAAAATAAGATAAATTCACATTATATTAACTTAAATGGCATTAACATTTTTCAGATTAATCCTGGACCACCCTGTATAGGTCAATGGATAAAACGGTTTTTTATTCCTATTTCAAGCAAATGGAGATAAATCCTGTCAATTCAAGCAACACTAGATAAATCCATTTTGTCTTTTTACTTTAACACATGATGCACACCGAAAAAAATATATTCGTTGAGTTAACATTTGCCTAAATGTCATTTTTGAAAATGTTGTTTCAACAAAAAACCTATTGGATTAATCTATATTTTGGTGTCAAAGCAATAGTCAGAGTTTGTCAAAGTTTATTTGTTCATTTGACAATTTAAAATATTGATCTTACATGAACTAATTGTTTGAATTAAAGTTTTTATCCTATTTTGATTTAATAGCTGGAATTGGTTAAATCAAATACTAAAATTGTTGGGATTACCTAAAAAAACTATTAGATTAACGTTTAGTTGCTGTTTAATCCACAACATTAAATTTGTTCATTTAACAAATTGTAAATGTTATTTTAAAATTTAAAATGTTAAATTTGCATTCATAAAGTTGCCTTAACACTCTAAGAATGTTAAATTAACAAAATTAGCAGATTGGAACAAATATCCTAATTTTGTTCATTTGACTGTTATTTGTTGTTCAATTAAACAATACAATTTGACATTTTTAGATGGTTAAGTAAACGTGCAAAAACCATTGCTTGTATTTAAAGTGCATAAAGAGTTGAATTAATATTTTTTTTGTTGTTTCAACAGCTTATTTTTTTCAGTGCAGGTGGACAAAAAATAAAAAATGAGTTTTTAGGTCTTATATATAATATATACTGTGTATAGTGTTATAACACTATACACAGTATAAACTATTTCGGTGTAAAGTTACCAAATGGAGTGGTAAAATAATTTGGTGTTAATATATACACTAAAATTGGTCAAAAATATTAAGTGTTTATTTTAAATTGTGATAAATTCATTCGTGTTAATTTAAATTCATTTAACACAGTACAGTGTCAATCTAGTGTTGCTCCTCCAAATTTTTTTAATAAAATTTTAAATTTGTCGATAAACTTCAGTGAATTAAATATTGGGGGGCACACTTAAAAACTAACTTTTTTTCGCAAACTTCAATTTAAATTCTGCTTGAGCAGAACTTGTCTATATAGTGTCATTATAAACTCATATAAATTTGATGTGGGTCCCATGTCTAATAACTGAGATATGGGTGTGCCCAAAATCCACCAGCCGCCACTGTTCATATCTAATAGTTTGTAAGTAATATAAAATATAATATTTATAAATAATACTAAATATGAAAATTATTTTATTATCTCAATACAAAAATACAAAAGTATTCAATAGTTTCTCAACGCCAATATTTGAAAAGTTTATATGAACATTGTACTGACCTTTTAATTTCGCCGGCAGTAAACTATAACTTAAATTCAGGCACGGACTCCACTGTAAAGTGCTCATAAAATATTTTCTTTACTTTCACAAAAAACAGTCAATTTTCAAAAAATACATTTCGATTTATAACCTTTATAATCTGTGTTTATAAAATTAGTGACACACAGATTCCCCTATTGTTTCATAGATGGCCCTCTATACAAATTTTTGAATTAAATCATTTTAAGTTAATAATAAGTATTTGTCGTAGAAAAAGTATAGTATGCACCTCGTTTATAAACTTTTCTATACATTTATTAATTTAAGCACTCGCTCGAAAGCTCGCTCGTGCCTAAATTAAATTCGTGTATAAAATGGCGTTTATCAAACTTGATACATAATATATTATTATTTTACATTACATTCTGTGTTTAATATTAAAACACCCACCATTTTTAACACCTACACGTAACACCTACCTGTGTAGTAAATTACACCAAATTGAGCATTTTCTACTCTTGAATGGAGTTCTTTTACCAATAGTGCGTGTTTCTTTTACCCCTAAGAGTGTATTATATTTGATGATTTTTACACTGTTACGAGTTTTTTGTACGAATAGTACGTGTAGAGTATTAACCAATTAAAAAGGGTAAAATTTACCAAATTTTATATGGTTAGATATACCATTTCTAGTGTGGACCTATATAGACCACTTTTGGTGTTTTTTTACCAGAAATTTTATACTGTGGTATACTCTATAGAATACATGGTTTGTTCAATCAATCAGTACTACCTCTTTGTTGTCTTGTTTCAGGCCTTACCGAGCACCCGGTAGCCTCCTCTAAGGACATCCTTTCCTGCCTGGACGCCGGCAACCACCGCCGTCGAGTAGCCGCCACTCCCAGCAACCCGCACAGCAGCCGCAGCCACTCGGTGTTCAGCGTGTCTTGTGGCGGGGTCAAGTTGCACCTGGTGGATCTAGCAGGCAGCGAAAGGGCTGACCACGGCCCATACGCTGATCCGAGGTTCAGGGAGGGTGCCAATATCAATAAGAGTTTGGTCGCGTTGGGGAACGTCATATCTGCATTAGGTGAGTAAATTTATGTATATAACACAAAGGCAGGAAAAAATAAATTGGCAAGATAGAGGAATTAAAAAAACATAGTTTTTGTTTAAATTTTGAAAACTAAAAGATAAGGAACCGAAATTGCTTTATTTGGAAATAGTTTAGTAGAAGTATACTTTTATAAAACCGCTATTTTCGAGACTGCACAGAAAAAAATCTAACATAGTACCAAGAACAGCGCTGTCATTGAATGCATTAAAATTGAAGCAATCTAAATTGTTATTTGCTCAATTAATTACTATTAAACCAAAATAGGGAAATATTTTGCCTAAGTGTCAAGGAGTTTATTGCGTTAAATGTATTATACATATACATAGTATACATACAATACTTAGTAACGTTATTAAATCAAATTAGTATTTAATTCAATAACATTCTACCATTCTAACAAATAAATATCAATATGAATATCCATAGATTTAGGAGCGATAACTTTTGTTGTTAATTTAAAAACAGTAAACGATTATAAACCAAGTGCTAACTACCTCTTGGTATTATAGGAACTGTTATTCAGGAATACGGATTACAAGATCCCATTGGTTTAATGGATCACCCATTCATGCTATGCTAGCATTTTTTCTGTGTGCAAAGTTCTTGTAGGTTAGGGTGGCCCAAAAAAAAAGAATATCTTTTTTTTTCTCGTCTCTTGTAAAAATATGTTAGTTTATCATGCTGTAAGAGCCCTGTCAAAATATCAGCTCGATTAAAAAAATTTTAGGGGTCGCTCAAGATTTTTTAAAATTTTCAAAATCGTCAAAAATTTAATTTTTGTTTTATTTTAATTTTTTTTCTTGTCTCAATATTATTTTTTTGGTAGAAAATAATAAAAATTTTGAAAATATCAAATCAATATATATATATACAGGGTGTTATGTAATTAATGTTATATATTAAAATACTGAATACCTTTTGACATAAGGAATAAAGGAAAAATATTTTAAAAAGCATTTTTCCAAAGATAAAGAAAAAATATGCATTAGAAGTTTTTTATATTTTTTGTGATACGCCACTGGTTACACACTTGTTTATCTCTGCACACCTGTATTTTATGAGTACAAAGATACCAACCAACAAAGTAGCTATGCGTTGCCAGATGTAAAAAATTGTTACTAAAAATTTTTCTTGTAAAAAATAAATAAAAACTCAATAAATACAAAAGTTTTATGCCCTTAAAGCTCTAATACCCTTCTGTATTTATTTACTGATCCAGCTATTAGCTTAAGCAATGATTAGAAAATTTAGTACCTTTGAAAATTGAAATCCATAACCACAAAATTAATTTTTTCATCAGTTTTTTTCTCTGTTTACTCAGATGAAATTGGGACCAGTTCACAGGTTAAACTTTAAACATTTAATTTGCGTAAATAAATCCAAAAGCACTTCCCTTAGTTAAGATATTTACAATTTGAAAACATAACCTAAAATTTAAAAGAAATGCACTAGATTTTGTCATAAAAGTTGTCAGATTTTGTTTGAATTTACCTTCAGTACAAAAATGAAATAACCAACAATTAATAAAAACGCCAAATTGACAATTTGCATTGTTAATTTTGTCATTTTTGTAATTAAGCTAAATTTAAACAATGTTTGTCAACTTTTTTGAGAGATTTTGGAAACACTGTTACCAACTATAACATAATAAATCCACCAGATTAACCTAAAGTTCCTAGTCGATCAGTGGCGTACTTTTTGGTAGGATAAAAGTTATTATAAATTATTTTTAGACTTTGGAATTTAGAAAAAAAAGTTTCAGGTGCTTCATTATGGACCCTAAGGAACAACCCATTTTAATATATAACATTAATTACATAACACCCTGTATATTCAGAGGTCGCTCGAAAACATTCAAAATACTCTACTTTGAAAGTTAAAAAAATCTTGAGCGACCTTTAGAAATCAAAATATCCATTTGAAATTTTCAGAATCATTATTATTTTTAAATTAAAAAATAAAAAAATAATAACGGAACGAGAAAAAAAATTAAAATAAAAAAAATCCAATTTTTGACGATTTTGGAATTTTTTAAAAATCTTGAGCGACCCCTAAAAAATTTTTAATGGAGCTGATCTGTTGACAGGGCTCTTAAAACATTATTTTTTTGGGCCACCCTATTGTAGGTACATGATAGGAATTTGAGAAAAATTTTGGAAATTATAAATCCAAGTAATCTTCTCGAAACTCTTAAACAGCCATTCGAAAATTACACTAGTTTACATCGATTTTGCCCACCATGTCTCACTATGATTTTCTTGTATAGTTTGGCTCTCTAAACGCGAAAATCACTGATCAAGCACTTAAATCAAAGATAATTGAGCCCTCTACAACTTTATCTTGTATGGTTTTGGTATCGGCTCAGTAGTTCGATATTGGCGATTTTATGAAGTTGAAAAAGTCCTTTTTTTACAAAAATCGAGGTCGAAAATTCACATATCTTTCTGGTAAAGATAGAAATCGAAAAGATAGGTCCAGTTTGATTTATTTTACTTATAGGAAAAAAATAAGCTGCTTTTGATAAAAATCCATGGATAAATGGCGAAGTTTTTCTTCATTTTATTAAATTATATAAAATTTAATATTGATCATTGATTTTTATTTTAAACATTAAATAATAATTATATTATATATTGAATATTGAACATTGAAGATATTGAAAGTTTTATTTTGTTGTAATAAGCATAGGTTTAAAAAATTCTGGCTTCTTCTTTGTTTTTTGTTGCTTTCGAATTCCGTATGGGGGACCAAATGTAATTACCCATCATGGCTGCATCCCAGAAGCCGTGATACCGCCGTTCTATAGCCTTCATTTGCTGATGAAAACGTTCTCCGTGCTCATCTCTTACGTCGCCCAGATTGTCCGGGTTATTTACGCACTCGAACTCTCTACTTCTTTTACTCATTTTACACTTTGTATTAAATAAATAAAACCATGATAAAATACCTTGTTGAAATATAAAAAAATAGTAGTAAAATGTCATTAAAGAATAAACATATTACAAAATAAAATAAAAATCGTCAAAAAGCTGAATTTTGGTCTTCCACTAAAAAATGCATAATGTATTTTTATCAACATTGGCTTGTTTTTTTGTAAAAAAAAATTAAACTATAGTTATATGTTTGATTTAAACCTTTCCCTGGACTATATGTAAATTTTCGACCTCAATTTTTGCCATAAAAAAGATTTTTTAAGTTATTAAAATCGCTCGCTTTTCGTATTGCTGAACCACTAATCTGCAAGTTTCACATAAAGGAAATTTTGTGTCGTAAATTGTCCTGCGAAAAAATGACGTCTTATGACGTGTTGCCTTAAAACGTCAACTACTGACGTCCATAGCCTACTTTGTATTTTGTAGTCAGAACTGGTACAGATATTAATTTTTGTATCAAAAAAGCTAGATTAACAAAAATGTTGGGTTTGCGGTAAAATTCGGGATTGTTTAAAAATTCTCCCTATTTTTGTTCAAATATGGTTTCAATATTTTTTTTAAAGTACTACAAGTGAAAAAAACCAGTTACGAACATGTACATTTTTTTCAAGGTTTTTAACGAGCCGTGTATTTACTTTATTTTTTAAATTTTTATATTGAAATATTGTTGTTGTTAGTCTATAGACTATAACTACAAGGTCTTCAGGGTGTATAGGTGAAATCTATAATTATAAATTGGAGATTGCTGACTTTGATATGAATTGATGGAGATTGCTCATTTTGTTGTAAACGTTTAAGGAGATTTAGAAAAATAAACAAAAAAATAATTGTATTTTTCTCCCTTTAATGGTTATAAAATTTAACAATACAATCAATGTGGGAAAATTCTGAACTGGACCATATAAATCTGGAGTTTCTTCTAAATCTGGGACCAGGTTGCATCGTGCAAACATTTTTTTATAGTACAACAACTCATCATCTCCTTCTCACTTTGCCCCGTAATATTTTACTTGCAATGTTTTGACATTATCAGCCTTTTCTTGCTTTACCTTTTCGTCTTATTAGGGTATAATAGCACAAAATAAACAAGATAACTTAGATAAAACGTAGATTTACCTATTTTAAATATATTTTTAAGTGCAATTTACTGCAATAGAACTGTACCAGTAAAAAACACAAAATTAAATCTCTAAAATACGTTATAACATCAAATGTTAGGATATCAGGTGACACAAATTACTAATTTCTAATGGTGGAATCGGAGATTGTATACTTTGCTGCAAATCTATCAGTGGAGATTGTCGACTTTGCACTAAATGTCATTTTTAAAATAGGATTTAAGGCAGGATTTAGCTCCTTTTGCAGCACATAAACTTTATCATCTTATAGATAATTAGTTGAAGTATACTCTCCGCCAAAAATCTAATTTTTGACCAAAAGTGGAGATTGTCGGTTTTGCTATGACAGGCCTCATATATATAGTATATATATAGTATATATATATATATACAGTGTGTCCACGGATGGACTATAACTATACTTAAAAATATTTATTTTAAATTTTTCGAAGAAAAGTCACTTTTCATAATTTCTTCTGCTTGTTATATAAATATCATTTACTATGAGAAACTTCTATTTTGTTATATAGGGTGCGCAAAAAAAATACAATTGTAGATTTTGCAAAACTAAAAATTGTTAAATTTTTTTTTTGAAGGTATAATATGAAGATCTTGTAAGGAGAAACCAAAAAGCCAAATAAAGTTTTTTCATGTGAGTAGTTACTAAGATATTTGTTATTAAAAATAAAATCAATTCAGGTCCTTACTTGAGTGGTCCTATTATTTTGTTGAAATTGACTGCTATCTCATTTTGTGATTATGAATCAAGGTTTGTTGCTTTCAATTGATGTCTACAATATTTACAATTATTTGTTAAAATTTAAAAACTAACATCTTAAATTTTCAATATCAAATATCTTAGAATCAAAAAACTTTATTTGACTTTTTGATTTCTCCTTACCAACTCTATACAGGGTGTTTCTTTTAACTTGAGACAGCTCAATATCTCGAGAAATACGCATTTCACGGAAAAATGTCTTAAATAAAAGGTTAATGTGACCAAAAGGGACATTATTTGGTGCTACCGCTAGCCACCCCCTACCCCTCCTTAAGGGTGAAACGGGGGGTAACTTTGGAAATTTCCAAAGTTACCTTGACTTAAGTCAAATGGAATGACCCGATTTTTTTCACAGAGTTTGGTAGTACATAAAAAATGAATAACTTTTATTTGAAAGTTTTTTTCAATTTATCAACAGATGGCGCTGTAATTCAAAATTTAAGAAAAAGGGGTTTCCTTGTAAAATGTATTATTTGAAACGTTTGAAAAACAAAAATTAACATTAAATCAATAATAGTCGGCTCTGAAAACAATTTATAACAAATGTTCGAAATGTCGTCCTTCCATTTCGACACCAAGTGGAGCACCAGCGTCCCTGGTCGGTAAACGTTTGGTGCGGTACCTTAAGCGAACGATTAATCGGACCCTTCTTTATTGACAGTGCATTAAATGGCGAAAAGTACCGGAATTTTCTAGAAAACGATCTGACGGACCTTCTGGAGGATGTACCACTAGCACGGCTCCAAAACCTGTGGTACCAGCAAGATGGTTGTCCTGCACATTATTCGACAATTGCTCGAGAGGTGTTGGATCGGGAGTTCAATGGCCGGTGCACCGCGGTGGATCGGTAGACGTGGTCCAGTAATTTGGCCTGCTCGATCACCTGATTTTACGCCACCAGACTTCTTCCAGTGGTGTTACTTGAAAGAAAAAGTTTACGCTGCAATTTCTACAACTTGTGAGGACATGGTAGAGCGGATCAGAAACGCCTGTTCGGCGATACCGTCCGATATGTTGGCGCGTTGTGTGCCAGAATTCATTACCCGCATTCAAAAATGTGTTGAAATGGAATGACGACATTTCGAACATTTGTTATAAATTGTTTTCATAGCCGACTATTGTTGTTAATGTTAATTTTTGTTTTTCAAACGTTTCAAATAATACATTTTACAAGGAAACTCATTTTTCTTAAATTTTAAATTACAGCGCAATCTGTTGATAAATTGAAAAAAGTTTTAAATAAAAGTTATTTATTTTTTTATGTACTACCAAACTCTGTGAAAAAAATCGGGTCATTCCATTTGACTTTCCAAAGTTACCCCCCGTTTCACCCTTAAGGAGGGGTAGGGGGTGGCTAGCGGTAGCACCAAATAATGTCCCCTTTAGTCACATTAACCTTTTATTTAAGACATTTTTCCGTGAAATGCGTATTTCTCGAGATATTGAGCTGTCTCAAGTTAAAAGAAACACCCTGTATATTATAGCTTAAAATAATATTTAAAATTTTTTAAATTCTGAAAATCAGTATTTTTGCTTACCCTGTACAACTAAATCGATGTTTCTCAACGCGAATCGTATTTATATAACAAGCAAAAGAAATTATGAAAAATTACTTTTTCTCGAAAAATTAAAAATTAATATTTTTACAAGTATATTTAAGTCCATGCGTGAACACACTGTATATATTTAAAATCCGATATCCGATATGGGGTTGTCCATAAAGTACGGATTTCAGATTCCCCTCCCCAATGTCACACATAATAACATTCTTATATCACACGATGTCCTATATTCTTGACCCCCTACCTCCAAACCTGTAAAGTACTTTATGGACGACCCCTATACAATTTGTATTGCTATTTTTTATTCATATAATTATAATTTATTATTGCTTTGACGCATGATTATTAAAAGTTTTATAATAAACATACAAATTATTTTCATTGTTGATCCCTCACCACGTAAAAATAATAAACATTAAGACATACATATTATATGAATGAAACGACTTATCTTAAGTGTTGTCTACTTTAACAGCTCGTAATAAAAACACAGAACGAAAATAAACACTCGCATAAAACCTGTAAACCTCCAAACCTGTAAAGTACTTTATGGACGACCCCTATACAATTTGTATTGCTATTTTTTATTCATATAATTATAATTTATTATTGCTTTGACGCATGATTATTAAAAGTTTTATAATAAACATACAAATTATTTTCATTGTTGATCCCTCACCACGTAAAAATAATAAACTTTAAGACATACATATTATATGAATGAAACGACTTATCTTAAGTGTTGTCTACTTTAACAGCTCGTAATAAAAACACAGAACGAAAATAAACACTCGCATAAAACGCCGCACTCAACCAGTGCCGTACAAATCTTTTTCAATTCAAACTAAAATACTTTAATTAATCTAGCAATCTGTCATATTTTCTTAATTCGACAAAACAGACAGTTTTAAGCTCATTAAAGCCGAAATATACGAAAATTGGACTGTTAAATCATTGTGGCATACGAAAACAATAACGAAAATAGCGCCGAGACGCGGTAGTCGTCGCCTGCTGCATTTTTCGTCCCATTTTCACGCTGACGACGCTCGCATGCATTTCTGTTATTTTCAGCCGAGCAGGCCTGCTGCATCAAGCAGCCGACTGCAACAAAAAGACATCGCAGGAGGTTCGTGCCTTACAGGGACTCCGTCCTGACATGGCTGCTAAAGGACACCCTTTCAGGAAACAGCAAAACTGTAATGATTGCAAGTAAGAGACAAATTAGTGTACTTTATAGGCTTGTAGTGTTTAAGATGAAAAGTTTAAATTTTATCGATTTTTTATGTTTACATTTAATACCTTCTAACTCAAGAACGGGTTCAGTTACATTAAGCAAAATATGAGTCTGAGTTGTTTTAATGTTTATTATAAATTTTAAATTTATAACTTTAACGGTTTTTGAATAAGGAGGGAAAAAATCATTTCAAAAAATTAACTCAAATTTTCTTAGCATGTAACTCTTAAATACTATGAGTAACAAACAAGGCATGAGTAACAATTTTAGGCAAATATCGCTATAAATAACCTTTAAATATGTTTCAAGTTTCATAACTTTAACTTAATTACAACTGACTATAAAAAAAGCTCTTCCTTAGGTAGTTCACAAGAATTTTCTTTCTTATTTTAGCCGTGTCCCCTTCGAATCTTTGCTACAGTGAGACAGTAAACACTTTAAGATTCGGGCAACGTGCCAAACTTATCAGATCTCAGCCGACTCTTCAACTAGAAACGCCAAACGAAAAAATCATAAGAGAACTGAGAGCTGAGATTTCGAGATTACGAGAATTGCTAAAACTACAATCTCAGGTATGAAATCTTCGTTTTAATACATTTTGTAGGTTGACTTTTATTTTTTTCAGCCTAACTCGTTGATTGGTCAGCCTAATAAAGGACAGGAATCCATGTTTTTGAAGTCTGGTAGTGCTGTGTTGCCGTTGATTAAATCGCAGGAAAATGATAGTGGACTTAATACGGGGTTAAGTGAGACATCCAGTTGTTCTTCGTTGAATTTGGAAACGGACGATAATGATACAGAACCTATTAATCCTATACTAGAAGAACCCATTGCAAATGTAGAGGTCAGCAAAAACGACGAAATCAAGGAAAATGAAACCAAGGAGAAGCTTACGCCCTTAATTGAAATAAAAAGCAACACAACAGACAAAAAACACAAATTACGTCGCACATACAGTGTTGTACATTCAATAATGGAAAAAGAAAAGCCGAAACCATTTGGTTCACATGAAAACCTAAGAAAATCCAGCATATCATCATTGCCACCTTTAAACAGAAGACCGTCTGTTTCCAAGGTAACCTCCCCCAAACATTCACCAAAAAGAAAAACATCCGATGTTGAAACTAAATCCAAAGTCGATTCCATAAGAAAGACACCTGTCAGGCCTAGATCGCAAATGATATCAGCTGTTACCAGTAGGTTGTATAACAGAGTTAAGAAAAAGGAAGTTTCTACAGATACCAACGATATAAACACTTACAACTTGCCGCATCCAAAGGAAATATCCATATGCGGTAACGCGAGGTTTAAATTGAAGGAATTAACACAGAAAGCGTTGAGGGCGCATAGGAATAAGCACGCTGAAACGCAGACTGATCTATATCCAGTATTAAGAGTTAAAGAGATCTCCACTGATGTGAATGATTTAAAGGTTGTGTTAAATGAGACTAAAAATGAAGAAACTTGTACTGAAGTCAAGGAGTTAGAAGATAAAAATGTAGAGTGTAATATGGTGAGTACAAGCACCGTAAATTTGACTAGATCTTGTAGTACACAGGCTAACGAAATTCCTGAGAAACCTGAAGTATCTTTCGCGAAATATCTTACAAATATAAGTCCTGCTACGTATGAGATACTATCAGATTCTTGTCCAAATAATCCGATCTATACAAGCTCTGTCAATATTAATATATCCCATAATTATATTAATGGTAGACAAGCTGATACCATCTCAGATGATAGCTTAGATGAAACCATCCAAAATCTGCCAACTCCAGATTTGATAAGCAACCATAATTCATTGGAACAAAACGCGTTATCAGATGTTAAATTCGCTGATATAGTGACAGAAATTCCAATTCTTGAAGAGTGTATTGTAAGTGAAGAATATCATAACCCTGACATTCTACAAGCGACTTTAAACATCACACCAAATATATCAGAAAAAGTTGATAAACTTAACATGGTGAATGTCTGTGCCCCACAAACATGCACCATCAACAAACCCATTGAGTATTGTAGACCCCTATTTATCGAAAGGCCTAGAAAAGCCAGGCCCAACATCATACAAACTAAGGACCCTGTTGTGGAATGTATCACAATCAAGGAACCCTTGATTTTGAAGTCCATTATGAGGCAAGTAAGTCAACAAGACGAAGTCAGCTCTGAAGAGAGTTACTATGAACTACCTGACTCGCTGGAGTATCACATGGTTAACAGTAAGAAGGTGCATTTTGGTGGTGAGAAAAAGAATTATAAAGATAATGATAGGATGGTGAAAGCTATGTCATCGTTTCTAGAAGAAGCTACGATTTTGATGAATAATCTTAGTTCTGCGAATAAACATACTTGTACGCCTTTACCCGAGGATTTTGATGTTGAGGTAACAGTTAATAATATTACAGGTCTGAACTCGTCCAAAACAAAATATAAACCAAGAAGGTATTCAAGTGATTATACACAAACTACACCAACTACATTATCTAACTCCTACACACAATACGAGGACTTTTCAATCCCCATCAACAAATACGAAGCCTTACTAGAGGACTCCTGCAAACGCCTCGAGGAAAAACTAAACTTCCCTCATGAAAGGTCAGCATCAGTTTCTTCGTTCCACGAAGAAAGGCTTTCCCAGCCGTTCTCATTTAACCCATGGGATTTAAGCAGTAGTTCGAACTACATCGAAGATTCTTCTTTGGAAAGTAACCCAGTGACTTTTTCTGACTATGGTAGCCTACCAAGGAGGAGTTTAAGGAGACAAAGACCTTCGTGTAGCCCCAGTGCTTACCTAAGACAACTTACGAGTTTAAGAAGACAGGTGATTGAGTCTAGTAGAGAGGAGTTAGTTAACAATTCTAGTTAGGTTAGGATTTAAATCATATACTACATATAGTGTATGCTTTAAGAGTGAAGATTACAGAAGAGATTTTCTATTTTGCAAGATAAACAGTAAATTTTGATAAAACATTTGATGATCGTTTTACTAATTGTCCATTTTTGCTAACTACCAAACCAATTCTTCTTTCCTTAATGATGATTGTTGGTGATTTTAGTAAATTTTACTGTCTGTATTACATTGGAAAACTGAAAATATTAACTCTTTTAAGCAAAATAATTGCAAAAATGGCAAATGCGCCGGGGTTAATATTTGTAATTGTATTTCTTCATACTTAAAGTATTTTAGGATTTGTTTGTGGTGTAACATTTTTTCTACTTGTAAATAAATACTTAAAATTGTAATATTTTTATAACACGTATTCTATTACATTAATAGATTTAACTGTACTCAGTTTGAATAAAGTTTGTTATTACATTTAACATGGTTTTCATTGTAGCAGCAAATCAAAATTAAAGAGACACTAACGATGTGTACAAAGCCTTAACACGAATAAAAATTACTTCTTGCAAGGCATTTATTTACAATAAAATGCAAAACGTTGATAATTAAAGTTTTACGCGGTGCCTGGCACGAATTTATGTCACATTTTAATTGCCCTTTCAGAAAATTGTGTCGCTTAGTACGAAATTTTAAACATCTGACTTATTATCTAAAACATTACGCGAGGAAATTATTTAGTGTAATGGGGTAATTAAGGCATTAAGAGTTTCGTTTTGGTCTAAAAATGTTGTAGAAAAAGAAGTATTTTAAAAGCGTGTTTTAGATGCTAGATTTAAGAGCAATTAAAAGTTAAAACATTGACAAATTTAAAGCATCAATAATTTCACAAACAAACATCACAAACACTAATCAACCATTTTGATGATTTTGATGACTTTTTATTTAGAAGAAATATAACATAATTACAATAATTGAAACCACGACAATTTTTGGAAACATTTTGGAACCAGTTCCTTTAAATGGATCTAAAAAAAAATATATAGTTGAATAATTAGATAAAAAACTACACTTTATTATTTACCTAAAGGATAGTAAAGAATACTTTTGATTTTGACGTAACCAGTTCCAGGAATACGTAGTTCGCAGCTGACTAGAGTTCCAGGCGTGACCATCTTTACTGAAGCTGAAGCTACTACGTAAACTGAAAATCTGCCGTTTGCGTTTTTGTTGATGTTCCATTGGACTATTTGTAGCCTATTTCTAAAAAACAGTAAAAAGGTATACTTAGTTTTCCTTTACTTTATTAATCTATGTTTTGTAGAGAATTCTTTTAAGTGGTGTAAAAAGTTATAAAAAATCAAATCTTAAGAACAATTAATGACAAAAAAATATTATTAAACAACACCATAATATATATATATATATTTAAATTAATTATAATTCAATAATAATAATATTAATAATAACTTATTATAATAATTATTATTAATCAAATCAAAAGAGGTAAAACCGGTTACCTAAAAAAGCTTTTTAATGGATTTTAAAAGATCCACTTAATTCGTAAACAATTGCGAATCAAAAAGGTACACATACTTTTTTTTTCCGATTTTTTTTTTCCGAAAATTAGATATTTGAAGATATCTGTTTATATTTTCGATTTCGATTTTAATAAATATATAAATTTTATTTGAAAATGGGATTATACTTTCTGTGGCTTGTGCTTTAAATCAATATAAATAATACATATTATTTGTAATTGGTGTAAATTTTCTTTATTATTGCATGTTAAATGCATTAATACCTATCATTACCTACTCCTACATTGGCGAGCTGTGACTTTATGGCTTTTAGTCACGGGCTGAAGTTAACAACAGTGGATTTTGGGCATTTTAGTCACGAGCTAAAGTTAGTTTTATTATAAATTGCAAAAAAGTGAGTTTAATTTGTCAGATGTCAAATATTTATGAATTTAAATTGGATTTAAATTCTTATTTCTGTTCGTCGTAGATAAAGTATAGTATACAACTCGTTTTATAAATGTCTCTAGATACTAGTTTTTAATAAACACTCGCTCGCAAGCTTCGCTCGTGCCTAATAAACAAAATGGCCTTTATAAAACTAAATACATAATATACCATTATTTTACCCCTTTATCTTATACCTACGTAGAACAGCAAAAATATGATTTTTAAAACTTACCTACATTGTTAAAAATTTTAATCTTAAATTTACAATAAAAATATTTGAATAATAATATTAGGTACTTATACAATTATTGTATATATATTATTTAAGTAATATTACAGTAGTAGTATTGTCAGTGGCGTATTTAGGGGGGGGTCCGCCGGGTCCGGACCCCCCCCGGGCGCACATATTTTATTATTTTTATTACAAAAAAATGTTAAAAAAAAATAAAAACCTCAAGACTGTCAATGTACTTTATTATTTATTAATTATATTTAAATATAAAATCATTAAAATCAAAAATCAACTACTTACGTATTAAAGAGAAAGAGGTGGTTTGGCAACCCTGTAGGTATATCGTTCCTACCTCTTTCTCGTGTCGTTATGATCGAGGCGCGAACAGAAATAGAACTATACCATGAATAGATAGCGTGAAAAAGAGTGGCGTCTCTTTCCTTATAATAAAGAAAAGATGCCGCTCTTTTTCACGCACGCGCTATCCATTCATTGGATAGGTCTATTCACAATGGATTGTGGGTCTATTGTTGTGATGCATGATACTTGTATCATGGTTGTGATGTAAATTACAAGATAGCATAGCATAGCATAGTACATATTTACTTAGTTTTTTTGGACCCCCCCCGGAGCTAAATCCTAAATACGCCACTGAGTATTGTAATTTTCCTAAACTTTTTACACTTGAGGTATAAACAACAAAAATACTAAGAATACAATACATTTACAATACTTTATTTAAAAATATACATAAGTACTTATGTACTTATTAAGTAGAGTAATTACCATTCTTGAAACTAAGATTTGTAATTTTAGTAAAACTATTTTACTATACTTTTTAATAATAAACATTTAGTAAATTCACCATTTTTAGCAGTGCATTAAATATTTGCATATACAAATCTTTTTTATAAAAAGTTTTTATTTAAAACACTGATTACAAATAATACATATTGATTTATTATAAATATTATAATTTAAATGTAAATTATTTTAATGTAAATTATAAATTTTAAATTATGTTCCATACTAGTATTTATTTTTAAGTTAATATACCTAATAAGGCACTTCTTTGCTTAGCAAAATTTTGGTGTGAGAAATTACGTGGTCATACTAATTTTCTAAAGTTGACTGTTTTTTGACCATTTTATTTCATGTATAGCTGAGCCCTATGGGACAAAGTCGATTTTTCACTAATATGCAACACCTGCTAATATGATATAGATTTTTTTAAACATAAAAATATAATAATTTTTTCTCTTTTTAGAGAAACTTATTCCATTAGGATTTATTTATTCTGAAATTTGAGCGGTATTGGGCCGCCCAATTTGGGCGATTATAAATTTTTCATTTTAAGAGCTATTTCTGAATAAAAGTACCCTTTTTAAATAGGGAAACGGATTAGCAGGATTCTTAAGCTTATTTTACTGAAAAAATATGGCTCAGGTCAAAATATTTTTATTAAAAAATGGCAAAAAATCAGTGAACTTTACAAAATAAGTTTGACCACTTGATTTTTACGGCTAAATGGCATGGAATACTAAATTTTACCCATGTGTTGATTTTTATTTATTTTATTTTCTTATTAATTGCATCGAATAAAATTATTTTTTAGAAATTTATTTTGCAACCAATGTGGTATTTACCCAACTCTATGGGGTCCCGTTTTATTTTTTATCTAGGAATTATTCTTATTTGTTAAGTTAACAATGTTAACACAAAGGTGATGTTTTCAATTATGTAGATAAAAATATCATACAAGAATTTTTATTCGGCGAATTAAAAATATATTAGGAGATATTTAATAATTTAGTTTAATTTTTATGCCAAATTGATATTTTTTTAATGTAGTGAATTTAAAATATCTGTTTTTTATATTTGTATTATATTTTTAATTCGCTAGATTAAAAATAGCATGAAAGAAATTTTTAAAATCATTAAAAATATCACAGGAGATATTTTTAATTCATTTTCATTTTTTTTTAAATAAGCAGGTATTTTTAATTGATGAATGTAATATTTTTTAGTTTGGACATCCCTGTAATTCCAGACTAATTCAGTCGCTAGATGGCGGCACAATTACTGGAATCTAAGACGTACGTGAGTCCGATGTCGCACTGGCCCAGCGTGTGCTGAACAAGGACAGTGCGAGTTAATTTGTTGTTGGAGTGGGTCGGTTTTTGTGGCGTTTGGAATAACAGGGTTATCCAAACTCTCAATCAGTCCGAATTAAAAATATCACATTCAATTAAAGTTAAATCGAATTAAAAAGACATCCTATGATATTTTTAATACATTTAAAAAATTCTCCTATGAAATTTTTAATTTAGAGAATTAAAAAATGTGTTTAGCAAATACAAAAATAAAAAGCAAATATTTTAATGAACTAAATAAAAAATAATAACAATAATAATGCGTTTGGCATATAAATTAAATCTAGTTCTGCTATGATATTATTAATTCGCAGAATAAAAATTCTTATGTAATATTTTTTATCTAATTGAAAATATCACTGTAGTGTTAAAAATAATTCCTGAATAAAAAATAAAACGGCGCCCCACATAACTCCTAATACCTTAAAGAAGAAAAGCGACTAGTCTTAGACTAGTAGTCTAGTCCGGCCAAAATGAACGACGATTTTATGGTTTTATATGGCTAGCCATTGGAAAAAATAAAAACAAATTTTGTAATGTGGCTAAGACCAGGGTTGCTAGGTTATAAACCTTATTAGCGCCAACCCTGATAGCACACTTTATTCTAAGAATGTTTTTTAAACCTTCCAGTGAGAATATTCTTAGGATCATTCTATATTTCTTCTAAAGAACATGCTTAAAAGACATATAGTATGATCCTAAGAATATTCTTACTGGCCTATAGGCAGGTTCTTAAAAGGTGCAAAGTTTTAGTGGTAAAAATTGGTCTACTCTAAACATATGCTTAGAAGCATATTTAGTTCATTTACCTATATAATAGTAAAATATACCATAAACTACGTATAAAATTATATACCTATACTTAAGTACCTAATTAGTAATTAGGATTAAATACTAAGTAAAAAACAAAATCCAAAATATTTTTTTATAGTTATTTGTCAAATTAAAACAATATTCGATAACAAAAATACTTTTACTTTAGGTATTTTATTTTGTTAAAAATAAATATTTATTAAATTGTATAGGTACCTATTTTTTATTTCTGAATTAACATTTTTATGTATAATAATCCTAACTATCTTCAACTTCAATCTAATCTGACTTATCCCACAAAATTTTCCAATTTT